CCCCACTCCCCACTCTCTCAACAGGGGAAACTCCTGTTCCATAGGAATCTTGGAAGGAAACAGGATGCCAGGCCTAGCGTGTGGGGATCCTCTCTGGACAAGGCCGCAGGGTGACCAGGTGAGGACTTCACTGCCCGGGAGGCCCCCGTGGGCCTCTGGAGACCCGCGCCCCCTCCAGCCTTCTGCCTTCCCTCTTCTCCTTGGGCTCAGCCTGAGGTCAGGTTAGGATTTAGCTAGAAGGCCCTTAGCAGGTTCCCCAACCCTCTCATTCAACTGAAAGGGAAACCGAGGCCCAGAGAAAAGTGGTGACTTAACCAGGCTCCCGTGGCATGCTTGTTCCTGGAGAGCATGGGCCGGAGCCCAAGGATGCTGACCTCCCAGACGGAGGTCATTCTCCTGTTCCTTGACATTAAAAATAGCCGGCACCCAATGCCAGTCTCCGGCCCCTGCCCTGCACGCAGTGGAGGCTCCCCTACCCACGGTGGCACCCGCTGCTGTTTCTTCCCCAGCAGAGTCCAGACCCGGGTGGGCTTTCTGGATCCATCTCACTCTGGAGGAGCTTCTGGATCACCATGGACTCTATGACCGACCAACCAGGTTGCTGCTTGTGAACATCTGCTTCCATCAAAGGCTTCCTGCAGCCCACCACTCTCTGGAACTTTCCTGAGCCAGACCTTTTCCAGGCTGCTTACAAGTGCCAGTTGGCCTCCGAATGGAGGTGTGGCCTGCAGGCTCTGGCCGGGCTCCCAGGGCCATGTGGGCCCAACTCCTTGGACTTCCCTGCCCAATCCTGATAACGCCTGTACTCTTCCTGCCGCACCCTCGGGGGCATTTGACCAGGACTCTGGAAGACAGCTGTGAAGTACGTGACCAGGCTCAAGGAGCTGCGTGGGCGCTAGACATCTCTGGGCCCTTCCTCTGGACCAGGGCTGGGACCAGAGGTGGATCGGATCCAGCCCAGCTGTGGGGACCAAGTCTGGCAAAGGAGAGAGACTCATGCTCTGGAGCAGTTAGCCCTGAGCCTCGAATGGCTTTTCCAAGGGGCATCCATGGCCAGGGCTGGTCCTTCAATGCACAGAAGGGGAAACTGAGGCAGCCTTCCAAGAGACGTTATTTACCGAGGTCACACGGCGAGTCGGTGCGTTGTTGAGACTGGGACCCCGAGCTCTGCCTCTCGGCCCAGGCTCTTTCTCTTCACCTCCTCCCAGAGGCCAGCCTAGAGAGGTGCACAAAGGCCCCCACGCCGGGAGAGGGACCTGGCGCAGGGTCCACCTGTGCAAGTGTTGGCCGTGTTGCCTGAGCGACTCCATCTCTGCGCTAGGCTGTCACTCCAAGAGGATGATCTCTGGGGGCCCCCGCTCCAACTGTGCGCCTGGGAGTCTCTGAAATGGGGTGTCTTGCCAGGCTGTGGAGTCTCTCTGACGGTCTGTGGGACACTTCTGTGCTGTTTGCTCCTCCCACCGGACTGAAGCCACGGAACACGCAGGCCGGAGTTACTTCAGCTACAGCGGGGCAGGCCTCTCTGAGGATGACCTGTTTTATACCCCGTAAAACCCATCGCATCTCTCCAATGGTGAGTCCCTGATGCACCTGGCACAGACCTGTGAGAACAGCCCCTGGTAGGTTGGGTTTGAAGAAGGAAAACCACAGGGTCAGCACCGATACCTGTTCTCCCTCCCTCCACACAGGCCAGGTCCCTAGGACCCAAAGTGGCCCTGCTCATCGAGGGCCGAGGACGTGGTGCTCTGGGACTTCAGGCCCACGCAGACCCTAGCACTGGGCACACGGGCTCATCCCCAGCTGAAACTTGGTCCGCAGACTGAGAGGCACTGGCCAGGTGGGCCTGGGCCCCGGAGATGCTCAGACTGCCAGAGATGGGAGGGCCCTTCCAGGCCAAGTGGTCCAACCCACTGTCCCTTTGCAAATAAGGAAACTGAGGCCCAGAGAGGGGAAGGGACTTGCATCACACGCCAGTAGGCTGATGGCAGAGCTAGGACCAGAGTCCATGTCTCCTGATCCTCCCACCCAAACACAATCCGCCAGCATCTGGCCTGAGCCTACCTCCAGCTCTTCCCGGGTCTTTGAGTCCTGACAGAGGCCCCTCCAGCCCCCCTCCTTTGTGTGCTGGGTGACTCAGGAGCGTTTCCTTCAGCCAAGTGGTCTTTCCTCTTAAAGCTTCCTGGTTTCCCCTCCCCATCTGCGCGGAAGGCCCATCTTTTTCTGCTTCTAGAAGCTGCTCCATCAATAGGCCATCATCGCCACTACCCTCTTCTTGCCGTGGTCCAGCCCTTTCCCTGAGTTCCAGCATTCCCATTAGTGGGGAGCCTCGTCCCCCTGCGCTTGGGGGTCTCTGGGTTGCTTCTAGGACTTCCCTTCTATCACTGGCCTGGTCCCAGGCCTACTGCTTTCCCATGATCACCGCAGCCTTTAATCCTGTCCATCTTTCCTGAGATCCCATGGACCATTCCCTACAGACTTCCTCTCCACTGGACCCAGGGCTTGTGGGAGTAAGAACAGCCCAGAAGTCGCAGGGATGCTGTGAGGTCTGGATGAAGTGAATGTGCGCATTAGATATATAAGGTCCAGGGAAGGGCTGCATCTGTAAGAGCTCATCTTACCAGGTGGATTCAGGTGGTAGCAAGGAGACCCTTGAACCTGGAGCCTATGGTGGCCTAGGCACCTGTGAGTAGGAGGGCAGGGCTATGAGGACTTTTGGTAATTGGGAGCGATGGGAACCGTGGGGGTTTTAAGCTGGGGAAGAACACGGTCAGGTTTGCCTCAGGGGAACTCGGCGGCTGAGACCGGAGGGGCGTGTGTGGCTTCCTTCCCTGGACTTGCTGAGCCGTGCATGAGCCAGTGCCGCCCACGGAAGGAGCGCACGGGGACCAGGCTGGCCCCTCAGGGTGGTGTTGTGGACAAAACGTCTGCAGCTCCGGCCTGGCCCAGCCCGTCTGGTGCTCGCAGACCAAACTGGGCCAAGGCTGCAAAGAGCCGGTGGGTGCCCAGGCCCTGTTCCCACACTTACAGTGACAGGGCAAGCGCTGCCTCCTGAAGCAGCCCAGGCCATCTCTTCAGAGACTTGTTTGAAATTATATTTTTCATAAAGTGAAAATAATGACTAACATTTCATCCTTCAATGTTTATTGTGCTCCTTTGCGTGCCAGGCACTGTTCCAAGAGCTTTGACTTCGTTTTTTCATTCATCCTTTGATGTAGCCACTGTTTCTCTCTTCACACGCCTGTTTAGCAGGTAGATAAACTGAGGCACGAGAGGTCAAGCCACTCGCCCAACGTGAGGAGCCAGGACTCTGCATGGGCGTCTCATTCCAGAGCCCCCCCCCCCCGACCTCCGCCCTCTCTGCCTCCTGCCCACCTGCCTGTCCACAAAGAACTTAGTCTTTTCCCCACAGACCCCTGTGCTCAGACTGAGCCGTCTCATCTCCGTCCTGCCTGTAGCACCGGAGCCAAACCACCTGGCTGAGCTGGGGCCTCAGCCACCGTCAGCTGCATCGGCCCTCTTGGCCTTCGAACGGCACATCTGCTAACAGGCTGCTGCCGCCTCCTTTGTGGCCACCTGAGCCCGTGCAGTCTCATTTCCAGGGCTGCCCTCCACTGTCCACCCCCCACAAACACCCGGCCCAGCACAGCCTCGCCCCGTCAAACAATCCCTTGACACGCAGCTTCCCCATCTCTCCACACCTCCTCCTTAGCTCTCCCCAAACACCCTGCAGACCTCCTGCCGCGTACATGGCTCGATCCAGTTCCCACTTCTCACCAGCCCGGATGCTCCATGAGGTTAAGACCGGGTGTGTGTGACCCAACCATTGCATTGCCAGAGCCGGGCACAGACTCGGCCCTCGGGCATGTGTGCATGAGGGGATTCCATACTGAGGCCCAGGTGGACGGGCCCTATGCTGACCCTGAGACCCTGGAGACCAGACAGAGATGCAGGTGGAGGAGACAGACAAGTAGACAAGCCGTGACGATGCAGGACGAGGAAGCACAAGGGGCCGTGGGGGGCATTGAGGAGGAGCCCCAGGCACAAATGGAGGACAAGCAGGGCAAGTAGGACTACACCAACTGGAGAGCGGTGGGGGGAGCACTGGGCCGATCTAATAGATGAATGGTAGGAGGTCTGTCTCCTCCTCCCGACCTCCTGCTCCTGTGGGTCACGGCCAATGCCCTGCACTCCTGTCTCTCCCACGGGTGCCGAGGAGCGTTGGGCTCTGCTCTGCATTCGGAGAGTTTTCAGCTGATGGCTTTTCTCTCCCATGGGGGATATATGGCTGGGCTGACTCGCTCCTCACGGCATTCCTTGTGCCCCCGACTCTCAGCCCTGCCTTCAGGTCCTTGCCCAGAAAAGCTTCGTCTTTTCCCACCTGAGCTACTCTCTCCCCCTCCCGTCCCCTCCATGGTTCCATGCCTCTCACCTTCTCTGCTCAGCCCATTCACCGGGCTCTGACTGTCTCAACACGTGGGTGCCAACGTGTACCCTCTTCACATGAGATTTGTTGATTTCATAACCATAAATAGATAAAATGTTCTGAATACTTCTCGGTGCAAGGAGAACTGGGGAAGTGAAAACATAATGAAAGGGCCTTAGGAGAAAGAAAAACCGCCTGCTATGATGCAGATGAAGACAAGACAGCCATTGCACAGACCAGCTCTCTGAGGGTGACACTTTCACGCATGGACTGCTGAGCCCTAGGCCCTGAACTGGGGTGGGGGGTGGGGGGGAATGCTTGGGAATCTGTTAGAAAACCTTTACACCCATAATTTCAAACGAACAATCTAGTAAAAAAATAGAAAGAAGTAGAAATCAGGAAAACTGATTTCTAATTCTGGATTCCTCTCCTTCTAGCCATGTGACCCTGGGCAAGTTGCTAAACCTTTCTGAGAAGGTGCATGGAGATTCTTCCCCTGGGTTAAACCGGAGGCTCCAGGAGGCCTGAGGCCCCACAGTGCTGTCATTTTCCTCCCACTGGGACTTTTTGCCCTGATAGTACCTTTATCACTGACTGTGGGACACCCTCCCCGCCTTCCTGAAATGCAGTCCTGAGGCTGGGGTTATAGGGATAGAATGGACTGCCCTGACTCTCCATTGCCAACTCCAACTTATGTTGCCATGGAAACAGAATGTGGAGCATCACTCCTGTATGGGGAGGCTATATCTACACAGCTACAAAAAGGCTGGGAGCTAGTGAGGAGCCTATTCCAGAGGGCTTCCCCATCTCTCCACTTTTTTTTTTAAGATATATTTTATTGATTTTTTACAGAGAGGAAGGGAGAGGATAGCTTAGTATGCCCTGGGCCCAGAGAGCTTCTGGGTGAGAAAAGTAGAGACATGCAGAGATAGTCCTAGTTTGAACTAACCAAGGTACATGCCCTTGACCAGAATCGAACCTGGGAACCTTGAGTCCGCAGGCCGATGCTCTATCCACTGAGCCAAACCGGCCAGGGCCATCTCTCCACTCTTAAGGAGTGCAGGACACTATTGCTCCATGGCACTGGGAAGAGTAAAGAGATGAAATGATAGCTTAGTATGCCCTGGGCCCAGAGAGCTTCTGGGTGAGAAAAGTAGAGACATGCAAAGATAGTCCTAGTTTGAACTCATCCTCAACTCTAAAAGATGGAAAACTTTTTCTGTAAAGGGCCCGTTAGTAAATAATTTAGGCTTTCCAGGACATACAGTCTCAACTGCTCAGCTCTGCCATTGTGGGGTGAGAACAGCCATAGATGGTAGGGATGTAGCTGTGTGTCAATAAAACTTTATTTACAAAATCACTCAGTGGGCCATATTTGGCATGCAGGCCAGCTTTTGTAGACCACAGCTGTACCCCATAATGCAAGAAAAAGAGCCGACTTGCTGTGTAACATGGAGTAAATAATTGCCTGTTTCTTTTTTTTTAATTAACTTCAGAGAGAGGAAGGGAGAGGGGAGAGAGATAGAAACATCAATGATTAGAGAGAATCATTGATTAGCTTCCTCCTGCACGCCCCACACTGGGATCAAGCCTGAAACCTGAGTATGTGTCCTGACCGGGAATTGAACCCGGTGACCTCTTGGTTCCTGGGCCGATGTTCAACCGCTGAGCCACACCCGACTAGGCAGTACTTGCCTGTTTCTGAGCCTCAGGTTCACCATCCATCAAATAGGCATAATAATGTGAGTTCGATTTGTCATGAGAATAGTCTAACGGATCAGAGCAAATCTGACGTCCTTTCATCCCTCTGTTCCATCACTTCAGAGCTAACGCCCCGCCCCAGGCCATGCCCTTGACAGCTGAGGATGGCAGCAGCCCACTGAAGTGGGAGAGGCTTCTCTCTAGAATCGGATTCTTGGCCTGGCTTTCCAGCCTTCGGTCCCATGTCTGTAGCCAGCCGAGCGCAGGTGGAAGCATGGAATCCCTTCCTCTCCCCCATCCTGTCCTTTGGCAGGAGGCTACAGTTCACTTGAGAAAGTCACATGGCTGCAGGCACTGGTGGCCCGGCTTTAGAAGGGGCCTTTGAGATTCAGGCTGGGACTAACGTGAAGAAAGGTAAGCTTCCATGCTCCCCAAATTCTTCGCCCATGGCCCCAGTTCCCAGGGGTGCAAGTCAAGTGGCCACACCTGTGACCTCATCACAGGAGACTGCAGCACCACCAACTGCATTAGTGGATCTTTCTTGAGTCGTCTTGTCCAATTGTCTGACCACCACTGAGAGTTTGCATTCCTTGGCATTTTGTCATGTGCTCTGAAGACTCAGCCAGTGATACTCATGTGATATTCACTCATTCTCTCTCTGTGTGTGTGTGTGTGTGTGTCATTCTCTTCCGCCCTCTTTCTCCTTCTCATAGATACATCTGTCCTGGCCAAGACAGGATACACCTTGACAGCCCTTTGTCCAATTCCTTGCCCCAAGTCTCCAGAAAAGCAGCCCTCATCAGGGCTGTTCTAAAGGAGCAGACTCTCTACTTACCCTCCAGCTCTCTCCCAGGAGATCATTGCCCCCCAAATCTATGGAAAAGATACACCTCCTCTTCTCTGATAGATGTTGAGGGGTGATGTCCCTCTATATCCCAATAAAGCTATGGAAAGATATGGGCAAGGGTTCTCACGGCCTGTTCTTGCTATAAAAAGTCCTTTTTCGGAAAAAATAATAAAGAAAGAAATCAGCCAATCCCTCCTCAATGCCATCACCTCTTCTTGGTGATTTTTCGGGGAAGGAGTGGGCGGGTTGCTATGGCAACAGATGCGAGCTCCTCTCAGTAAAGAAGGGACCTTGATATTTTTTTCTCCCATTCTCTCTCTTAGCTGTGTATGTGTGTGCGCACGCGTGCATATGCCATACATGCCTGTGCCCACACCAGGACATTTTTTTAGAACTAAAGAAAGTCCTCTTCCCTCAGCTCCCCAAATATGGAGTGAAGAAAAACCACTTCTCCTGCAGGCCAGGGAAGCTTCGGGACTGTTCAGGGAAAAGGGAGAGGTCATATGGGGTTCCTGTCTTCCATCCTTTTACTGGAGACTGCATGCAGCAGAGAGAACTTCACAAATGATTGGGGTCCAAGGGCTGGAAAGAAAAGATGCTGGGTGGAGAGAGGTTAGTTAGGTGAGAGTTAGTTAGGAGAGAGGTGCTGCAAGAGCCCAACAAGTGACATCAGAGAGGACAGCAACAGAAGGTGCATTGAGGCTGGGGATACATGCAAATCCATACCGCATGGGATGCCGAAAAAGGCCCAGGGCAGACTCAGATGTGGAGACAAACACACACATGGACAAGGTGGCGCATAGATAGCTGCAAAAAATAAAAATACAGGCAGGCAGGCACAAACATAGAACTACATACAACACAAGAAGTCAGAGACATTTTTTATAAAGACAGGCATAGATACATAGGGATACAGACACACCACTACAAAGACATGTGCAGACAGACAAAAACATACAAATGCAGTCATGGTTCAATGGACAGACACACATACACGCACACTCTCACAGTCTAGCTCCCTCCCTTTAATAGCCCGAGCATAGCCGAACAGCAGTGCATAGCTGGGAATGCTACAGGCTCACCCAGTGGATTTGGCTGGAGTGCTCCTGCTCTCTGTATTTCTTCTACATACTCACTCTAAACCCCTCTCTCAATTCACTCTCTTGCCCACTTTCCTATAGTTTATGGGCTCTGACACCACCCCCACCTCGGGCTTCCAACTCTTAGCCTGTTCTGCTGCTGCTGTAGCCTATTCTGCTGCTGCTGCTTGCTGCTTGGGGCATGGAGGGGGGGAGGAGTGGGGTGACTCAGCCAGGCCAGGATGACTCACACTGCCAGTATTTTTAGCAGCAGCCAGGAGCTCTCTAGTGTGCCAGCCGCCCCCCTCCTTCTGCTTGCTATTTTGGAACTGTCACTGGTGATATAAATAGCTCCTCTCCCACGGCCTGAAGCTTCTGCCAAGCTATTTTTGGTTCTTCACTGTTAAAAATAGCTCCATGGAGGTGGGAGGAAAAGGGAGTGGGAGTTAGCCTAGAGAGAGGAGACATTGGGGCATTCAGAGCTTCTCAACTTGAATCAGAGTGGGCGAACTAGGATGAACCTTTTTTTACTCCCTCTTTTGTCCATTTCTAGACCCTTCTTCCCTTCGAGTGTCTCTCTTTCCCCCAGTCTATTCTCTTGGAAAAATCCAGAGGCTCTTCCCTTGAACCCCGTTCTCCCCCCATGCTTCCTTCACTCCTAGAGCTCAGAAATCTTGGCCCCTGGTACCCTCTCCCATATTCATCCTCAGAGGAAGAGGGGACATCCCATTGGGACCTCATTCTGAGGCCTGTGTGGTCTCAAGCTCTTACTTTGATGTCCCAGGCAGACCATGGCCAATATGATGTCCCTGGTGACTTTTCAGAACCGTGGACAGCGATCAGAGCCCCATTCTTTCACTGTGATCGTTCTGCTCACTGAAGACCAGCTGGGCCCCACCAATAGACACCATGGAGAGGGGCACTACGAATGTGTCCCAGCCAGGGCTAGAGCTTCATCCGGGCGTGAAGAAAACAGGAATGCTGCCCTGGATTGTCATACAAGAAGGACATCCAAAGATCAAGGGCTTGTCCACCAGGAAGCCTAAGGGAGGGGTGGGTGCGTACGTCAGGGGTCAGATAGAGATGAAAGTGGAACTATCGCTCTGTCACCCAGATGAACAGGGTTAGAGAGTGTGCAGACACACACATCCTTTCCCTCCATTTCGGTTGTGCCACTGAACACAGGATGGTTGATAGGAATGTCCCCAACATCTGCCAAAACGGCACGAGCGGTCGGCCACCCTTCTGCTTGGCGGTCTCCTCCTCCCAGTCTGCCTCTCTCGCCACTGCCCTTTCCCACAAGGAGCGAGGAGTTCCTTGACCCCAAATTTCACTTCTTGCTCTCAACGTTTATGTCTACCCTTCCTATGTGACTTCCTACAATCAGGCCAATCCCACTCTCCCATTTTAAAGTGACCTCATTTCCAGCCCCTCAAGGGATTTCACACAACCCCCTCCGTCTTCCTAGCGAGACTTCGCTAAACTACCCCCTAGCCCACCCCTTCTTCTTTTATAGGATCCTGGGGAAAAGAAAGGAACCCCTCAGACCCCGTAGAGAGCAATCATTTGTGCTGAAAAGAGAAAAAAAGGAAGGGGGAGGAGATAGGGCCAAGGAAACAAACTGACAAAGGACATTTGAGAGAGCAGAAGGGGACTGTTTTGGGAGTAGAGGGCGCAGGAAGCCGAGACAAACCACCCCGCCAGGCAATGAGATAAAGAAACTAGTTGAGGCCGAGGGAGGGGCATGTGGAGAGTGGAAGGTGGAGAGGCTGAGAGAGGAGTCCCAGCACCGAAGACGGAGAGGGGTCTGCAGGGGGTGTGGAGGGCAGCCCGACGAGCAAAGGGGTCCGTGTCGGTGCAAGGATCTCTCCAAATAGGTCCAGCTCGGCCCCCTCGCTTCTCCGCTGCTCCCCCATCCTCCCGGCCGGAGGCGGAGGGGGGGCCTCCGGAGCGTTGCGGAGGCTGCGAGGCTCCGCCCGCCGCTGCGCCGCGGCAAACGCTGGAGGATTCCTCTCCAAATAAGGAGCTGGGATTCCCCGGCCCCGCCCCCGCCCCCAGCCCGGGGAGACACCAGCCTGCGGTCGGGCGTGGGTGCGGGGGGAGGGGGGGCGCTCACTTTGGGGGCTGGCGACAGGGGCGCATAGGAGGAAGGGATACCTCGGTGCAGACTCAGATCCTCACCATGCCCTGGACCCTGCCTCAGTTTCCCCCGCCACGGGCTGAGGTTAATTCGTTGGAATCCCTGCAGACCGCAGCGTAGGTGCTGCTATTTCCATGCTTGGCGGTGGGAAAATAGGACCAAGGCCAGACTCGGGGGATCCTTCTTCCTCAGGACCCCTTTCCACCCCACCCGAGGGGCTGAGACCCCCACCCCCGCGTCACTCCCCTGCTAAACCACCAAGGCCTGGCTTGGGGACGGGGTGGGGGGAGGAGGCTTGTTCTTTGAAAGTGACTAAGGCAATCCCAGACCCAGGAATCCCTGGAGAGAAACCCTAGCCGCGACCTATCCCGCGGAGGCTAACAAGGCCCTTCTTCCCCTCGTGTGAAGGTGACTTTTGGCTCGCAGCTAGGAAGGGGGGGTTTGTGGACAACCATACCCCCCTTTTCTTATCTCCTTTAAAAATCGATGTGGGAACCAACCCCGCCTGGCCCTCCGCAGCCTCTCCTGCCAGGGGCTTCTGGCCGCCTCCGCCCTTGCCCTGTCGCTTCCCTGGGCTGAGCACACTCGGACACCTGGACCCCTGCACCCCCTTCAGGCCTTCCTAACGCAGCACCTGCCCCTCCGCTCAGCTGCCGCCAGCCCCGGCCCCCTCCGCAGCCTCCTCTCTCCCCCTCCCGCCGGCACCCCTCCTGCTCTCCTTCTACGTCACGGGATGACGTAGGAAGCCGGGGAGGGAGGAGGAGCGCCTGCCAGTGGCTCCTGCTGCAGTTTGCTGAGCCCAGCCTCCCGCTTTCCCGCCCCCCTTTCTCTAAATCGTGCCCCCCCACGCCTGGCAGGAGCTATATAAGGCGGAACGAGGCAGGCGAGGGAGGCAGCGCAGCGGAGCGGAGCCCAGGAGAGGAGAGGAGAGAGCGAGCCGGAGCGAGAGCCGGAGCGAGAGCCGGGGAAGCGAGGAGGAAGAAGCCACCGGCTTCGGGACAGGACCGCAGGTGCTCGGAGCGCCGGAGCGGGAGCCCCGCAGCCGCCAGGCATGTACCGCTCCACCAAGGGCGCCTCCAAGGCGCGCCGCGACCAGATCAACGCGGAGATCCGGAACCTCAAGGAGCTGCTGCCGCTGGCCGAAGCGGACAAGGTCCGGCTGTCCTACCTGCACATCATGAGTCTTGCCTGCATCTACACTCGCAAGGGCGTCTTCTTCGCCGGAGGTGAGCAGACTGGGGCTTTCGGAGACCCGAGCTGGCGGACACTGGGGACCGTGGAGCTAAGGGAGCGCTCTGGGGCTGCCGCATGCCCAGGGTGGCATGTTGGTGAGCTGGGAGAGAAGGGATCGGGGACTAAGGAACTCCCACTTTTCCTTCCGAGCTCTGTCCAGACTTCAGCTTAGTTCTGGGTGGGGAATAGAGAGCCCGGACGGTGTCCCTAGCGCCAGACTTACGCAAGGAAGAGAGCCAGGACACAATGGCCCCAGTTCCCACCCGCGCAGAGGCGCTCCCGGAGCCCGAGAGGAAAGCCCGGGAAGTTGCAGAGATAGAGTAGCGCTGTCCACGGTGCAGACAGCACCGCCGGGTGGCGAGGCGCTGTCCGCGGTGCTGAATACCCGCGCGTGTCTGTAGCGCTGTCCGCGGTCCTGACATTCAGAGATGCAGGAAAGCCCGGCCCCGACTTGGAAGTCCAGCAACAGGTTCCCTAGGCAAGAACTGCGGGCAGTGGGTCCAGAGGTGTGTGCAGAGGCAGGACCATGAGAAATTCCCCTGGATTTTCTGAAGTTCACTCCATGCCTCCTGGTCTCACTCCTGACTCACCATGTCTTCTCACCCCACAGGTGCTCCTCTGGGGGGCCCCACAGGGCTTCTCTCAACTCAAGAGCTTGAAGACATAGTGGCCGCGCTACCTGGCTTTCTGCTTGTATTCACAGCGGAGGGGAAGCTGCTGTATCTGTCTGAGAGTGTGAGCGAGCATCTGGGCCACTCCATGGTGAGCGCTGAGGGCCAGGGCACAGATGGGACACAATGAGCTTTCTACTTCTGAGATTTACTTGGGAGCAAGGGTTTATACCCTGCAAGATGCTATTTGTCAAAGATTGGCCCTTGACGCCTTCACTAAGGATCATCTCCTCTTCCCCTTTCTCCAGGTGGACCTGGTTGCCCAGGGCGACAGCATCTACGACATCATTGACCCAGCGGACCACCTAACTGTGCGCCAGCAACTCGCCCTGCCCTCTGCCCTAGACACCGGTGAGCACTCCTTTCTCTCTTCCTCAGTCCAATCTCCCTTCTGCTGCCTTGCCCCTCCCCATCTGCCATCTCTCTCAGCCATTTGCCTTCTTATCAGTTTTCCTCTTCACTCACCTAGATCGCCTCTTCCGCTGTCGCTTCAACACCTCCAAGTCCCTTAGGCGCCAGAGTGCAGGCAACAAGCTGGTGCTTATTCGAGGCCGGTTCCATGCTCACCCACCTGGAGCCTACTGGGCAGGAAACCCTGTGTTCACAGCCTTCTGTGCTCCACTGGAGCCAAGACCCCGCCCTGGTCCTGGGCCTGGGCCTGCTTCACTCTTCTTGGCCATGTTCCAGAGCCATCATGCTAAGGACCTGGCCCTACTGGACATCTCTGAGAGGTAAGCCCACAGTGTGTAGACCCCAGGAGGAAAGCAGGCCAAGATGAGGGGACCCTAGATTCTGGAGTCAGGGGAAGGGAGGATGGGATCTAAGGGACCAGAGGACCTGGGAGGGAGTGAGAGGCCATGGCAAGCAGGGAAAACAGAAAGCTGACCTCACCCTTTCCGCTTTCCCAGTGTCCTAATCTACCTGGGCTTTGAGCGCAGTGAACTGCTCTGTAAATCATGGTATGGACTGCTGCACCCTGAGGACCTGGGCCACGCTTCTGTTCAACACTACCGCCTATGTGAGTGTCCAGAAAAGCTGGGGACAAGACAGGGAGCTGGGAAAGGGAATGGGAGACCCTACCAGGAAGGTCTGGTTGAGGCTGATGCTGGGGAGGCACCTGAGGCCAGCAGTTTTGGATGCTATAGGGTGCACATTAGGTGAGGAGTAAAGGTGAAAATAGCATCAGAACTGGGGGACTCCCAGCGGTGAGGTCAAGGTGGGGAGCTGAGTGGTACAGGTTAGGGTAGTCAGAAGAGGATGTTATGGATCCCAAACTCAGTGGAGAGGTCAGTGGGGTGATAGTTTAGGTGATGTTATGTGATATGTGTCCTAACTCTGCATTTTTTCTTTCCCTTCAGTGGCTGAGAGTGGAGATATTCAGGCAGAGATGGTAGTGAGACTGCAGGCCAAGCCTGGAGGCTGGGCATGGATTTATTGCCTGTTATATTCAGAAGGTCCAGAGGGCCCCATTACTGCCAATAACTACCCAATCAGGTGAGCTGCGAGGCAGGAGCCTGAGCGGGGGGGGGGGCAGCTGAGGGGGGCATGGAGGAGATACAAATCTGGGAACTGCTCTGGGAATGGGCACCAAATCCTTACTGGCTATCTCTTCTCTCCTCTCCAGTAACACAGAGGCCTGGAGCCTCCGCCAGCAGCTGAACTCTGAAGACACTCAGGCAACCTATGTCCTGGGTACCCCAACCATATTGCCCTCATTCCCTGAGAACATCCTTTCCCAGGGACAGTGCTCCAGCCGTAACCCACTCTTTACCCCAGCCCTGGGGGCTCCCAGAAGCACCGGTTTCCCCCCTGCTCCTGAAATGGGTGCTGTCTCAACACCAGAAGAGCTTCCCCGACCTCCCAAAGAGCTGGGCTTCAGTTACCTGACGTTCCCACCTCGCCCTGAGCCTTCTCTTCCAGCCGACCTGAGCAAGGATCTTGTGTGCACCCCACCCTATACACCCCACCAGCCAGGAGGCTGTGCCTTCCTCTTCAGCCTCCATGAGCCCTTCCAAGCCCACTTGTCCACTCCATCCAGCTCTCTCCAAGAACAGCTGACTCCAAGCGCCGTGACCTTCTCCGATCAACTGACGCCCAGTAGTGCCACCTTCTCAGATCCACTGACTAGCCCACTACAAGGCCAGCTGACCAAAACCTCAGCCAGAAGCTACGAAGATCAGTTGACTCCCTGCACCACCAACTTTCCAGACCAGCTGCTTCCCAGCACTGCTCCCTTCCCCGAGCCTCTGGGCAGCCCTGCCCATGAGCAGCTGACTCCTCCCAGCACAGCATTCCCGGCACATCTGAACAGCCCCAGCCAAACTTTCCCAGAACAACTGAGTCCCAATCCCAGCAAGACTTACTTCGCCCAGGAGGGATGCAGTTTTCTCTATGAGAAGTTGCCTCCAAGCCCCAGCAGCCCTGGTAATGGGGACTGCACACTCCTGGCCCTCGCCCAGCTCCGGGGCTCCCTCTCTGTGGACGTCCCCCTGGTGCCCGAAGGCCTGCTTACACCCGAGGCCTCTCCAGTCAAGCAGAGTTTCTTCCACTACTCCGAGAAGCAGCAGAATGAGATAGACCGTCTCATCCAGCAGATCAGCCAGTTGGCTCAGGGCATGGACAGGCCCTTTTCAGCTGATGCTTGCGCAGGCGGGCTGGAGCCACTTGGGGGGCTGGAGCCCCTGGACTCCAACCTGTCCCTGTCAGGGTCTGGCCCTCCTGTGCTCAGCCTGGATCTGAAACCCTGGAAATGCCAGGAGCTGGACTTCCTGGTTGACCCTGGGAACATATTCCTGGAAGAGGTGCCCGTGGAAGACATCTTCATGGATCTCTCTACCCCAGACCCCAATGGGGAATGGAGTTCAGAGGATACTGAGGCAGCGGTCCCAGGAGGGGCCCTGTCGCCTTGCAACAACCTGTCCCCAGAAGACCACAGCTTCCTGGAGGACCTGGCCACATATGAAACCGCCTTTGAGACAGGTGTCTCAGCATTCCCCTACGATGGGTTTCCTGATGAGTTGCATCAACTCCAGAGCCAAGTTCAAGACAGCTTCCATGAAGGTGAGTCCAGCCCAAAAGTTCAAGAACTCAAGTCCTGTCCTGCCAGCGAGATACTGGGTGGAATGAGTAAATTCCCCTCTCTGTACCTCAACTTTATTAATGGGATAATATTGTCTGCTGCCTAGGGAAGCAGTGAGAATAAGAACTAATGAAAAATAATCTGGAAATTCCTGACAAGTAGGCCTGAAGGGCAGGGGTTAGGGGTGTGGGATAAATGCAAGAGGATCCTTCACTAATGGTTTCTCCTCCTTAACTCGGTGAAGGACCTAGATCAGCCATCATCACCCTATTTTACAGATGAAGACAATCAAGGTCCCAGGGTTAAAGAAACTTGCCTAAGGCCACACACAAATTGATGGAAGAGGCATCAGAGCCCCATCTCAGTATTCTTACCCCCCAAAGGGGATATAGACTAAGTGTTTATAGGCATTTGGAAAAGTAAGAGAGGCTGCCTGCTATGGCTCCATCCATTCCAAAACTATAGCCATGGTTTCACTTCGTCTGTCCAAGTTGCTCCCTTTTCTGCTGAACCGCTGGTGATCATTCAGTCATTGGGCCAACATATTTGAAGCCCATATACTATGTGCCACATCCTCAGCCTATCTTTCCTAACAGGCCTACTGATTGTCCTCTCTCTCTTTCTCTCTCTCTCTCTCTCTGCAGATGGAAGTGGAGGGGAACCAACGTTTTGAATAAGTCTGTGACTTAACGTCGTCAAGTATGGCATATTGTCATCAAGACGTGGAGCTGCTCTCCACCCCCCCGGGACTGTTGGGGGGATTCTAGGGGCTGGAGGGGGATATATCTGATTCCCCAGGCCCTGCAGGATTGGGTGAGGGGAGGGGGGAGGGCTAGGGAGGGGAGCTTCTTTTTAATATTTAGAGACTTCCAGCAATCCCAGTTTCCATTTCAATCTGTATTCACTCGTAGTGAGTTTCCTTGAATGGGATTTCAAGTGGAGAATGGGGGAGTCTCACTTACCCCCTGTGCTGCCCCATGGGCTTGGGCCAGTTCTCCACGCCTGGGGGCCAAGCCACCCCTGGGCCTTGGTGGGGGAAAGGCAGCACCCATTCGGGCCAGCCTGTGCCCCGAGGGGCTCTTGACACCCACGTAGAATTCTCTACACACCAGTAACGGGATTTCAATTCCGATGGACTCTGCCGCCCTGGCGGCCCTTCTTGTGACTTTTGCGCCCCGCACCTGGGGTGGGGGGCGTGAAGAGACGCTACGTTTCTTTCCGATGGAGGAAGGCAGACCTGCCGCTGTCACACGTGTGCTTGCACGAGTGCGTGTACCTGGTGCAGGACTCACCCGGCTGCCAGACTGCCTGGGCCTGCCCAGGTGGCCACCTCGTGGTGCTGTGGTGACTTTGTAGCCAACTTTATAATAAAGTCCAGTTTGCCTTTTTGGTACCTCTGGTGTCATGCTGTAAAGAGGGAAGCGGGGGGGGGGGGGACTTGAGAAGGTTGGAAGGCCCAGATGGGAGTGTGGGGGTCTGGAAGTAAAGCCTGGACCTGCAGACAGCCTGGCTGTCTTGATTCTTGATTCACTCATTCGCTCGTTCCTTTGTTCATGCAACATCTGAGTGCACAGTGTGCTGTCCACCCGTGCTGGAAGCTGGAGAGTCTGGAGCTGAAACAGCAGATGCCACAACTTGACTTCAAAATGCCAGCGGGTATTGGCATCTCCTCCATGTTCAGGCTTGAAGTGCTCACAGTGTGGGAGCAGCAGAAGGGCCTGGGGATGGGTATCGGATTCCGCTTGGCATTTTCCTGGGGGTGGGTTGGAAGTCTCAGGACATGAGTTTCTTTCTTCAGCCTGGTCCTGCAGGGAAACAGCTTCCCTTGGTGGCCTGTTGGAAATGATAACCACCTTGCGTGGGCCTTGCAGCTGACAAACACTTTTATATCCCTCATTCACTGCCGCGAAGCCTCTGATCAGGCCTATTGGCGCCATTTCACTAATGAAGAAACGGAGTGTCACAGGGAAAAAGTGATTTCCCCACAGTCGGTGAGAGCCATAAGTGGGAAACACGTCATCTGCACCCGAGCCCTGGGCTGGGTCCTCTGACCCCAAAGCCCGTGAACCACCATCTCAAATCATCCCGTCCCAGTTACCCGAGAGGGCAGGCTTGAACTGGAGCAGGGAGCCTCTTCCCTCCAGGTCTGCATACTAAAGCTTTCAAAAATACTGTTTTCCTCTGAGCTTGAGGGCCCAACAGCCACAGGGCATGGTAGGGGGAAAAATTAGGAGACAAAAAGGCCTGGATTTAAATTCACCAACGTTTTGCTGAGTGGAACCTGAGCCTCAGTTTCTTCTCAGGTAAATTGGGGCTGGAGTCCAGCTGGTGTGGCTCAGTGGCTGACTGTCCATTTATGAACCAGGAGGCCCAGGTTGTGGGCTGGATCCCCAGTAGGGGGTGTGCAAGAGGCAGCTGATCAATGATTCTATGTCATCATTGATGTTTCTATCTCTCTCTCCCTCGCCCTTCCTCTTTGAAATCAATAAACAAAAATATATGAGAAAAAAGCACTTCACTGGTGATTGGTGGAGGTGGTGGGTGATAGGAGAGAGTGTGCGTTTTGGTGAGAAGGCAGGTGACTTCAGAAAGAGACCCTGGCCACCAAGTTAGTTGGAGAGAAAAAATTAGAAGAGCCAATAGCGCCACCTGCTGGACAAAGAAGTATCTGCTTCTGTTCCTCTCGGAGCTTTATAGCTTAGACCAGATGAATGGAATACTGAGGCCCAGGGAGAGGAAAGGACTCGCCTAATGGCATTCTCACATCTGACTCTCAGCCAGTTCTCTTCCTACCGATACCAGACTCTGCCCTGGGAGCAGAATGTAGGAGAAAGAGCTCAAGTTTTGGGGTCATGAAGGCTGAGTGCAAGTGCTGGCTCTGCAGCCTCATTTCTTCATGTGATAAACAGTATTTACAATACCTACATGTGGCAGTGTTCTGGGTGCTGACATTGCAACAGCGAACAAGGCACAAGGTCCCTGGGGGTGGGTTGGAAGTCTCAGGACATGAGTTTCTTTCTTCAGCCTGGTCCTGCAGGGAAACAGCTTCCCTTGGTGCATTCTAGCTGTGGGAGACATAACAAAAACTAAGTGAACAGTCTGCAAGAAGTGCACAGTATGTCATTCAGTAAGGGAAAGAACCAGTTCTCTGAAGGCAGGAACTGTGTCTCTCACATTTATTCTGTAGTAGGAGCTCAGTAGTAGGAGCACTGAGCCCAGTACCTGATAATAAGCCACTCAAAAACTGTTTTGCAAATGATGTTCATCCTAAGTTTGTGTATGTGTGATATATATTAAATGTTTATTGATTTTTAGAGAGGAAGGGAGAGGGACAGACAGAAACATCATCAATTGACTGCCTCCTGCACACCTCCACTGGGGATCGAGCCTGCAACCTGGGCATGTGCCCTTACTGGGAATCAAACCGTGACCTCTTGGGTCATGCTCAACCACTCAACCATACCCAGCGGGGCTGTATATATATTTTAATACAAACAAAATAGTCAACAGTTATTTTATTGCTGCTTCTGAGGACTTGGTTAAATGAATTACGGTCCACCCACAAGACAAAATACTAAGCAGTCATCAAAAATGGCTTAAAGAAGATAATGAAAAACGTTCTAAATAATTGCCAAGTTAAAAGTAAAATACAACAGTATCTAGAGTAGGACACCACTTTATTTTTTTAAAAAAAAGTTACATATAAATACATGCACAAAGAAAAGAGTAGAAAAGATATATACCTAAATACTGTTAGGAGTCTCATCTGGGTGGTGGGATTACCCAAACTGGAGTGTGTTATTTTCCAAATCTTGGTGCAAAATAGAGACTAGCATGTAACAGGTGCTCAGTAAACGTGAATCCATTTCTGCCCCGACTCCTCCTCTCTTCCCTGCAAGGACAAGTCCTTGATGTTCTGGGGAATGGGGGAAAACAAAGGCCAGGGCTTCCTCAGGTCTTCTCCGGCCTCGGGCAGGGACCTCCTGCAGCTTTGCTTCTTCCATGGGTCTGTAGCCACGAGCCCAATGGTTCACATTCAGCTAACACCTGATCCAGTGCCAGGACCAGCTTCGTAGAGGGACCTGAGGCACTTGTGCAGCAACACTGTTGGGGCTGTGACCTGAAGTCACCACAGGGGTCTGTTTCTGTTGAACTGGCAAGTCCCCAAGAGTTAAGAAATGTTTCTGATTACAGCACAAGCAACATCTGCTGCTTCTGTACACACGAGCCCCAGCGTTCGCAGCTCCCACCTACCCTGCTTGCTTTGTCATCGGTGGGGAGGAGGGCTACTCCGACCTCTGCCACCGATTCAACCTGGACAAGTTGCTCTTCTTGGCTGAGCCTCGGATCATGTATCTGAGAAGCAGCAGGAAGAGCCCTACTGTCTGTGTTGCCACCATCAGTACTGGTCCCTTTCCCCTAGGGCCCTAAGACAGAACTCAAGAGAGGGTGACAAAAGATGTTTATTTAGGCTGAATCCCCTGATACATCCATACGTGTAAAAATATATAATCTAAGTCAGGGCAATAATAATCAGGTTGGTGTCATCTCCCCTTCGGCACAGCCGTTCCAGCTGCTCCCTTCAAAATTCTGGAGTGCGCAGGACAGGGGTCACTTCTTGGCAGCGGCAGCTTCTGCCTGAGCTGCTAAATCCGCCTCTTTCTGAGCCTCCAAGAATATGGCTCGCTCCTTCTGGAAAGCTGCCAGCTCTTCCGAACTGAGGCTGCGGGTACAAAAACACAGATGGTAAGTGAGTGGCCCACGTCATTGTCTCTGAATCCTTTCTCCCCTCCTGGACTTCTCCTACCTTTGCTCATCTGCTTCCTGTGCCAGGAATGTCACCCCACCATCCTCACCACCTCTGCCTTTTGTTCCCTTCTTTAAGCCCTACGGTCCTTTGAGGCCCCGGCTATAACTCAGCCCAGATGAACTGGCTCTTCCTCTGTGCCCCACAACACTTTGTGCAATAAAGTCTTTGGGCATGCGTGTCTCCCCTGAACAGGGACCAGACATACTCATTTCTGTACTCCCAGCAAAAGTAAAGATCTGAGAAAAGTGAAGCCCATTCTTGTTCCCCGCTTAACCCCACTTCTTTTGGGAAATGACCGGCAGCAAAAGACCAGTAAAGGGTTGAGAGCTGACCCTGCTGTTGTCTGGGCTAGACGCCCTCTCACCTAACATCTCACTTCAAAGACACAATTGCTGAGGTCATCTGAAGCCCGAGGTGGGGGCCCCTGTTGGCCTGGCCTCTCTCACACTGTTTCCTATTCTGCCTGTAATGCCGGATTGTATACCAGATTACACTGAACTTCTCTGCTGCACTCTTTCACCTTCCATCCTTCACAGGAATCTCCACTTTTTGGAATGCTTGCCCCCAGTCCTTGACTTCCTTTTCCAGGTCTCGTCACCTCGCCTACAAAGTTCCCATTGACACACCAGGCAAATCAGGAGTCCTACACCTTGTTCTCAAGACAGCTGTCGTCGTTCAACACTGCCTGCCTGCAGTCTAATGCTCCAGCTGTGCATCTGCCTCCAGCTCTGGACTGTGAGTTCCTTAAAAGTGGGGCCAAGCATGGCTATCTAGTTCCCTCTAACACATAGAGGGTCCTTAACAAGTGCATTCAAATGAATGAATGGGGCTCCCAAGACTCTAAGGTCCTCTGACTCAGAAGCAGACGCTTCCACTAATGCGCACGCTCTGTCTTGCCCCAAAGTCAAGAGCTGTCCAGGTCCTCCCCTGGCACTGTGTTTCCCCGGAACACTCACTTCTTCACCACACGAATGCCCAGGGAGCGGGCAGAGCCGATGATGGAGCGGACAACAGAGGACAGGGGCATGTCCCGCAGGGCGAAGGCATCATCCTGAGCTTTGACACAAGCAATCTCATACACGTGCTTCAAGGTCACCAGGCCTGCCACCTCCTTCCCTGGACGGAAGAAACAAATAGCCCTTCGGGTGTCACTGCCTCCTTCAGACCCCCCCTCCCTCCAAATCCCAGGGGCCTACCCCGACCCTTACCTGTCTGCCGGGCCCCTTTTTCAATCCCAGCAGCTGCCTTCAGGAAGTAGGTGACAGTGGGTTGTCCTATCTTGATTTCAAACGTCCTGTCGGGCTTAATGAAAAAAAAAAAGAAGAAATGTGAGAATATCTCTTCCTGCCTCTCCCAACCCCTGCTTCCCCAACCGAGGGGACTTCTAACTTCCCGTCTCCCCTTCCCTTGAGTCCCTTTCTGATGGTGTCCCTCCAAAAGACCACAAAACCACAAGAGAAATAAATCTGTAGCCAACAGCCGCGTCCCCTCGGGTCCAGGCCCAGCTCTACTCAGGAAGCCCCAAGGAAGTGAAAGGACAATGGAAGGCCTGCGACCCGGCGGGCGGGCTCGGAAAAGAGGCC